ATGGTGTTAGACGACGTCTCAGTGAAGACCTGGGCCCGTATTCATGAAACCGTTCTCATGCTCCAACCCAGATTCTGTGCTCAATCCCAATTTCTTGTCTCAGTGATAAATTACAAACGGTTTCAGTGTTTACACTTTGACAATGTTACATGATTGAAGCAGGTTACAAGTAGCCATCTTCAGCACAAAATCAGGCTTGAGCATGCGAATGGTTTCATGAATACGGGTCCAGGGCCTGTACTTATGCTCAAGCCCAATTTCTTTTTCCCATGATGACTGTAGATTAATAAACGGCCGAGGCCTTCCCTGGCCACTCTCTCCAAAGGCTCACATTCTCGAACCTCGAATCCCGTCTCTCCACTCTTAGACACCATATACATGTTTCTGTCAGTAAGTCCGGATTATTGAGACTGTTGACACTGGGAGACACTACTACAGTGTCCGAATTTATATATGACACTGTAAGTGTTCGGATTAAGATCCGGACTAACAACTTTAATCCTATTGTACTTTCATCCGGTATATAAGGTATCCGGACTATTAGCATTGCTATGGTAATTAAGATGTAAGCAGATTCAATTTTAATGAACATTTAACTATTAATAAAATAAGATATTCTAACTTCAATTTCATTTTGTAAGTCAAAACGAGAAAAGAGAAAGAGCTAATTTATTTTTTGGCCGGAGGCTTGTTGGGTTTTTATGATTATTTTATTGGCCCATCAGAGAACAGAATTTCAGAGTGTTAAGACTACAATAATATAAGTTCCAGAAGAATCGGCAGTATTTTGTGGGTTTTTTTAAATAAGAGGCAGTTGGAGAGACACAGAATGTATCTTCTTCCCCATTTGAAATAATTACGTCTTTTCGGCTGAATTTCCCTAGTCCCCAATATCAATATGACCCTGGCTGTTACGAGATTGACGTCAAACCCCACACAAACCTGTATATCAGTTTTTTACCGTGGTATGTGGAGTTTTTCTCTGACCGGTACACATATCCTTTAAAAGCGAGATATGAACTAGTTGTACCTTATCACGGGAATGTGAACAATTTAGAGCCGTGATATCGACATTCATTGTCTTTCCTTTCATGTCAAGGTCACCTCCAGAGTCGAGTAGATCGTAACACCACACAGTGCCAGGATAACAAAAATCTTGTTACATGTGACGTTGAATAAATTATGCAAAGTTAATTTTACACTCCGATAGTTTATGTGTCTACATATATTTGACCTACTGGCATACTAAACGCAAAGCTATTATTTAGTAGACGAAGCATGTTGTAAGTGCAAACTTCGTGGAATTGGTTTTATTTTAGTTTTATTTTGTTTAACGTCTTATCAGCATGTTGGTTGTTATTGCCTCCTTGTGATAGCGCGGATCTGATGCCGACTTTATAGTGCTATCTCACTGAAGTACACAGCACAGCATCCCGCTCGGTCACATAATACTAACAACGGATGAACCTATTATTGCCATTACCCTTAATGCTGAATGTTAAGCAGGGAATGACAACTACTATTTGTAAGGATTTTGGTATGTCCCGTCATGAGGAGAGCCCATTGCCTTCCCCACCTTGGCGAACGTTCAACATTAAAGCCAAAAGTAATGTATTACCAAGCAAGGTGTTAGGAAATTAAACGCAGTTAGAAGTAGAAAGAAATATAAAGATCCCAACTATTGCAATTGGTGTAACAGATTATTTTTTTTCGCTTTTGTGTCCCCAAGTAGAGGGCACGAAAGCAAATCCTCAATTCTGCAGGGGGTCCCAGCACTAGTCGCCTCTTACGATATATGCAGTGGGTAACAGCAGGTGTATTCTTTTCTCGATCCCTGACCTGCAGGATTGCTTCGTGAAATAGATGTTAAATAAAATATAAGAATACAGATTTATTTACAGATATAGAAAAACCTAATATTTAAAAAAAATATATATATATATATATATATTGCCATTTTGTGCATAACATTCGTGTTCCGTTTGATTCTTACATTTACATGTAATAAAAAACATCCATGATGAAAACCAACCAATCAGAATAAAGGATTTAAATAACGAAAAGAGAGATTTAATAAGCAGAGTAATTCATTGAGAAAATAGAAATTCGCGTACGAAATAGATATTTTTAGATGACAATGAAATACGTAATAGGCTTTGTAAGAATGAATAAGAATGAAATCAATTAGCTTTTTGCTAGTAACAATGAAATAAGAAGTTGTTACTTAACAATGAAATAAGTACGTTTCCGCTTAGTAACAAAGAAATAAATTAGCCTTTGCTTAATAACAATAAAACATGTACGTTGTTGTTCAAATTACACAGAAGTACAATGTATGTACGATGATAATTGAATATGTATTATGTTGGTTTGAAAATAATGAAATAAGCCCAATGTTTGTAAGACGACGTTACTTTGATAAGAAAGTACAGAAAAGCTCACGACCAAACGAAAAGATAGTAGCCGAAATAACTCTTCCCTTCTTTGTGTGAGAAAAAGATTTATTGTTATGTTAAATGGTTATCTTAGCAGTTACAAACACACAGAAATGTAGTAGGGCGTGTTTCCTTTATACACAAAAAATATCTTTAAAAGATATCTTTAATAACTTTTTAATATCTTAGTATAGTTTGCTGCTATTTATCAATAAGCGTTTGTGTATACAATTCAATTTTTAATGTATATTAGTCATCAGTGTATATCATTTATCTTTTGTGTATTTTTGAACTTCTGTGTATCTTCGATGCACAGATTGTAGTGGGCGCAATTTGTAACTTTGACATATTTCGTTATTGATCTTGTTTCAGTTCAGCTGGCGTTTTACCGTTACATGACCGCGAGATTCTTTTGATGTACATCAAAGAATCGAACTAGTCTTCTTGTCTTATCAACAAGGTGGCGCACACCGAGCCTTCAATTTTGCTTTGACATATACCAGGGGTGCAGAGAGCGAAATTGAGCGTAACCCCTGGATATCGAGGATGATTCCAGGGGTGTAGAGAGCGAACGTGAGCGTAACCCCTGGATATCGAGGATGATTCTAGGGGTGTAGAGAGCGAAAGTGAGCGTAACCCCTGGATATCGAGGATGCATAACTATTGTATATGGCCTTTATCAGCCTGCAGCTTTTGTTATAAGTTTGTTCGTCAACAGTTGATATTACGGAATATTGATATTCGGAACAAGCTTATGGATGCTAAATCAATTGCGACCTGTAGATAGTAAACGCTTGGTAAACAGGAATGTTACTATCAGTAAACGGAAAGGTCACGATCGAAAAAAAAATTAACAGACACGATTACCGCGCAAATTAGTTGTAAGTAGTCTCTATTTGTCATGTTGTAAGTAAATATCGAGGAAATCGGCTGATGTAGAGGAGTCTGTCATGGTCTTGATTTTCAATTGAGGAGGATAAATGCTATCGAAATAGTAAATCATTAGTCTAGATATTTGTAGAAAATATTCGTCGATAAAACACAGATTATAATATGATTTCCGTATAAATTATGTAGGATTAATAAGTGCCGATATTCTTTTTTAAGACGAATTTACACATAGCGCCAGTAAGAGACAAAAACCACAAACACACTTTTGCTGACACACGGCTTTACCGGGGGCCCCAACCGGTGTAAGTATCCGAATTATATACAAAAAAAAGAAGTTTTTAGTATCAACAGGAATTGTCTTAGCTTATATACATGTACGAAAAACCAACCGCATTATTTTAGGAAAACTACAGGTTTTAGGTTTATGTATTATTTATAACTTATTATGAAATCCATTTGTATCTTAGGATGTTATCGAGGAGGGCTACACTGCCCACTTGACCACTGCCGGGGTGATAGGGGATGTTTTCCCGGACGGGAGAGAAACTAAAGAAATACTGGACATTGCCGCCGGGACCGGGCTCGTTGCTGATGAGGTAAGGTGTTGATCACAATAACCACTGACCTGCAAAATAAGTTGTACTCCTTTGTTTGCTTAGCCTTTACAATTTATGACTTAAGCACAAACAAAACCAGATAAATCATAAACTTCGTTCTCATTCTCACAAACGTAAACATGATACCTCTCACCCTCACGAAACATGGCTTAGGAAATATTGTGTATCCGGTGTACAAATGCATCTACTTTAATAACCGGGGACTGTCCCTACATGGTACTCAGGGTCACTACGCTGCCACTAAATGTAACGTGTCGGCGAGCACTCATCCAGCCTCTGACCACGCTCCTTGGGTATTCTTTATCGCTGGAAAAGCTATCTTGTCAGTAAGGTAGTAGTGTCCCCTCAATGTGATGTGCCTGTGTCTAAAATTGAGATTGTAAAATGAGTGTGCAGGGACCAAAACATTGCACATGCTAAACGACTATCAGACTCTGATGGTCTGATTTTTGGGCGAGGGCTGGTACATGCGATTTTGTCATTATCGATTTGTTTTGAAGGGTGTAAGATTCCTTTTATGAAACTATCTAATAATGGTAGGTTTTCAAGAGGGACTGCAAGAATAATCAAGAAATTATTGTCTTTGGATTTGTATCCGCTGCAGAGGTTTCGAAAACCGCTAACAGTTGCATTGCTTTTGGTATGCCATATATTGTGCTTGAATGCATTTTCATAATTGCTTTCAAAGGTTCAACTTTAGATAAGATCATCGTATGATGACGCAGGAGGGATGTCAGATCTGGTACCAAGCACCAGAAATGAAAACTCGAATAAGAAATATCTCAGATGGTTTTAGCATTGGAAGTATTCATAAATGCTCAGTGGCACACGGTGACCACACGGCGCCGTCAGCGAGCCGTGTATCGGTTACACATCGCAGGATACACCAGTCATATGATCAATAACTGCGTTCCACTCTACTTATTCCGAGTGCAATGCATTCCATGAAGTTGGTACAAGGAAAGCACAGTTTTCAGGATCCCATAGATGTTAGTTTCGCGTTGAATCTGCTGTTGGAGGCGGTCAAGCGTTCGGCACGTGTGTAAAAAGGATCCATTATATTCAAGCAGATTTTAATCCAGGCGTCTGTTGGTTGTTAAAGATCTAACTATGCGTTCTTGGTTTTTGTGTTCTTTCAAGATTAAATGAATTAAGAAATCTGTAATGGTATTTTGTTTGGAAAATATTTATCCTGTGTAGTCAAGATGAAAAGTGGTCAGTCCTCTTTTGGGAATGAGGGGATGATACAATAGCTTTCCAATTTATGATCCATAGGCGATATATATATATATATGTGTGTGTGTGCTTAGAATGGATCGACTTGGAGTCAGAAAAATTCCCTGAAAACCCGTTTATAAGTACAAGAATCATTGCAGGTTGATTCCATTAACGTTAATGAAATGCTCTCGTGACTATTTTCCATTATGAAGTGACCAATGACACTTGAGTGTGACATTCACTCCCTCTCCTTCACACCAAAACAACGCATATCATTACATGGCCTCTAATATCCTAAACATAATTTTATGAACTTCTGCTCTCGTTAACATTACTTAATGAAGTTGTATACATTGTAATATATTTCCTACTTTGGTCATAATACCTAGCGATCATTTTTTAGCTGAAGAAGATGGGATTTCGTTTGATCGACGCCCTTGAACCTTCTAAAGGAATGCTAGAGCTGGCTGTAAAGAAATACCGCAATGTGTTCAACCAAGGACTGTCCAAAGACCCTTTACCTTTCCCCTCCGGTCAGTATTATGTCACTCGCCACCTTCCGGTAAGTGTCAGTTAGATAAATATAAAGGTAAAGGTCATCATACGGTTTAAATTATGACACAAGTCAACTTCCGGTTGTTATAATGTGTAGTGGGGTAGTCAGTGCTGCCTACTTCCAGTAAGTGGATGACCGAACAATTCTGCAGAATATAAAACTAATACTATTTTCCCCCAGATGATTCCTCTAACAGAGAAATATTTCAATTCGTTGTTGTTGCAATTATCCATTTTGTTCATTTCAGATAAATATGACGCCATTACTATCTGCGGTTGGCATGGAAGCGCCGGTCCCCTCGCAGACTCGCTATCGGAAATGACCCGAGTCGTCAAGCCAGGTAATTCCGCAAGCATGAGACAGCCAGAAGAGTAATGCTTTCTGATTATAGATCAGGCCTAAATCATCGCAGCACTTTGAGGAAGGTTTCTGTTGTTTTTTGGTATTAATAAGAATTATTTCGATCTTTCTTGCTGAGGTGAGAACTGATATGTTTATCTTATTACGTTTCGATATGTTTCAAATTCGCATATCGGATTTACCTGTACAAAAGGCATGGCATTTTTATGAGATACACAGGTCAAATGAAGGTAAAATGAATTTCACATTTCACCGTTAGATTGTATTTTATGTGAAATCTCACGAAGATTGGATTTTTTTGTGAAAATTCATTGTTTTTTTGGTATTTTAAAACATGCATCGATATTTCATTTTATGTGACATTTCAGTAAGACAGATCTTATAAGTGATAATCCAGTAAATCTGTATTGCAGAAGCTACTAGATGGTAATATATTAAGAAAAAATTATAAAACAAGGTCAACCAATTGTCCCGTACTGTGTTGTTTTACCAGGTGGCTACATATGTATTGTGACGAGGATGCACTACGTTCAGAACCTTGACGACTACAAGGAGACATTCCTACCCGAGTGTATAAAGTTGGAGGCGGACGGCAAGTGGAAACAGTTGGAGTTTAAAGGATTCATGGGCTACCCTTTCAACAACGAGGGCGTCAAGATGGTGTTCAGGGTCTGCTAAAGGATATCTACAACGTACAAATGACTGATTCGTCCATTCTATTGTAAATGTTTCAAAGACTTCTTTTATAACCGTTGCAGCAATACTAATATTGCGATGCCCCACTCCTTCTTTAGCTATTTTGTAAGTGTATGGAGCTTGATGGTTTAATCGAGATTCCTTTTTGGGTATTATGTGAAACAAATCCTTTTATCAACAACATTGTTTTGCTAAATTGTCGCAAACACTATTTTCAAATAACAAATCAGATAAATTTGGTGTTGAATGATATTTTGTTCCTTTTGAACGTCATTTTGGATAATTCTACCTCTTATTTGTCCGTGACAAAACGTGAAAGTATTCGCTATTGAAAATCGATGTGGCGACGACAATGAAAATTATAATATGAATCGTTTTGAAATTTGAACCTTGAATAAAGGCAAACTGATATCAGAACAAGGAAACATATAGAGGGTTTGTAAACAACATTCTTATAGAAATGGACTTAATGTCTTACGACGTACTGGAATTGTAAATGCCAAGTTTCAATTAATCTGAACTTAATTAGGTACCAATTCCACATTATATTACATTCAGGTTTAGTATTATTTATGGTTATTTTGATTCTATAATCAGATCCAACCTAATCACGTCTGTAAGGAACTCAATCTTCTACAAGTAAGAATGCTACAGTAGGTGTTCATATCATTGATTGTACCTGGTGTGAATAAGAGAAGATGACACTTTTCATATATTATTACAAATATCGAAGATGAACACCGTATTAGATATTTTTTTCTTGATTTGTCCAAAGACTGCCCCTGCTGTGGCCTTGGTTGATAAAGCATTGCGCTTTCCTGAGGGAGAGGCACGCTCTCGCATATGGCGGTTTTGGGGCAGAGGTGACCCATATTCTCAGGTTGTCCTATTCGAGCGATTGTCTCCGATGAGTTGTTCTGTAGTGTCTCTCTGTGTAAGGAGAATGTTCTCGTATGTTTTATTGCCCATGTCAATACCATGGTATTGCCCATGTCAATACCATGGTTGTGTGTAATGTTCATGTTCTGTCTAACCGTATCCTATGTAATTGGAATAAAGTTAAAATTGAACTAAGTCGTTGACTTTCTTCTTATCTTGTATTAATCGTTAATTCTATAAAGAGCTCAGAGCTTTCAGATGTCATGGTATTCTTCATATTAGTCGCTCACAAATTCCTTTTTACTTCATTGTTCGCCTGAATCCCATTCATCATTTATGGGTTTATGTGATGTACACTAGCGAGCTGTCATAAATGGGTTCTATACCATGTTATTAAAACTCAGAGACTTGGGTTGTTGGTCAAACGATTAAGACATCTGACGTTTTATGATTGTCTCCCCTGACTGTGTGGCGTGTTGCAATTACGGACCAGGGTTCCGAGTCACCACCGTGGGAAGATTAACTCGCTGTTTTTGTCTTTAAATTAATCCAAATACGGCTTTTCCAACGTAAGATCATACAGTGAACGAATTTATGTTGGAAAAAATATACATACACAACTACGACGGCATTGTAAGACGCAAGAAAAATCGAAAGCAAATGAAAGATTATTTTATCTTGAAAAACTTGTTATGCACATGCACAAAGGGCAGTTACTCTGTTAATTCCAGAAATTCTCTCAAGTTAAGCGGATGAGATGTATTTGGGAAGATCGGACATAAATGTTAACAAACGTACGGAAAAACGTGATAGTTTAATATTGTTTATACAAACTATTATTTAAAATTATTTAAGCAAGTTTTGATCCCTGTGTTGCCTACTGACCAAAGTAGCGTAATTTTTGAAAAACGTAAACAAATTAACTTGATCTAAGCTCAAAATTAATTAACTATGCACGATTATTAATCAAGGTAACATCTTCTTAAACTTGAAGTACATCACGTGCCTGCATGTAGCATACGAAAAGAATAAAGATAAATGCACTGTGAAACAGACATTAAAAGCATGTAAGCACGATATAATATTAATATTTAAACGGATTCGATTCAGACAAGAGTGAACGGATTTAAACTGATATTTCCTGAATATTCAAACTAACTGTAACTGGTCCATGCTGTACCTCCAGGTCAGCACGCTTAATGCACACATGTTATAGGATGCAAGTGCTGTACACCAAAATGCTGATGTTTTTTGAATTTTTGTTGTTGTTATTGTTTATGGTTTGCTTATAGGCAAATGTTACACCAAGCTACTGCAAAAATGGATAATTTCGGACTAAAGAATCAGGTAAGACCAAGTAAGTTTCGTGCATATCGAACGAGCTATTACATCCATTCTTGCTATCTGTACTTTAAAGGTAAAATCGGTAAACTTGACCTGAAAAAGACCCGAAATTCATGTCCGATTTACATTAGGATTTTCATGACAAATTCAGGTAAAATATTTCAACTAAAATTGACCTTTGTGCTCTCTTCAGGTAGAATTGACCTACATATTTCACCTGAATTTGACCTGAACTGACATGAATAAATTTTGCCTGTGTATGTACATGTATATGGAACATTACTTGTTTATACATGTATAACGAGGGTGAGAAATGTTTGGAAGTGTCCGAGTGTCCAGTACACCCGATATACAGTACAGAGACAAAGGCCGGTAAATAATTATCTAAAGCACGTGATGCGGTTATTCAGCAACAGGACTTACTAACTACTGAAGACTCGGACATTTTCGCCGCAGTTTACTGTTCGCCTTTTTCGCCCTCCGCAACGACTGTGAATTTATTTATACAGCGAACAGTATCAAATATTACATGAACATAGATTTCAAATGTGTAGGGCGATATTAATGTGGGGCGAATATGAATGTCATCGGCGTAGGGCGAACGTTTCATTGGGCGAAATTTTCCCTGTGTAAAGTATAGTTATTGTCATGTCGTGCTTGATCATGCATAAGTCAAAATTCCCGACTTTGTGACTTTGGGATGCTCTAACCAAACACTAGATCTACCTTGTTAAAATATCCGATATTCCAATTAGACTGCTAATCTCTAAGTACATATATGCATGACTGGCTTTTTGGTTAGGCCTACTCCTTCATTGTATCTACCTAAACTATATATATTTCCTCTTCAATTTACATGGAGTACATGTTTAAAATGTATGTCTTTCTATATGGAAAGGTCTTTAATAGGCAATGCATGTGCCCAATCATATTTTTGATTACAACAATAAAATAATTTTGAATTGAAATTTTCTGACTTTTAACTGAAAAGTCCGCTGCCTTATTTTCGACGATTACTATCGAATGATCGGACATTTTTGTTTAATGATTTAACGTTTTAAAAACATCTGTTTCATTTCTTGATTTCTCCGTCTGTAATTGTTTAATCCAACACTGTACAGCTCCCGTTCTAATTTTTTCACTTCCTCAGGCAACAATCTCAGTAACGTGGTGGTAACTTCCTGTACAGTAAACCATGGCCGCCTATAGTTTCACACTTCATGTTCAATAACTACTAGGATCATGTACGACAACTATATCGGAGTATCCTAGGGACGACTTTCGGATGGTCGGAAGGCGCAATAGATAGCACACTCGATGACCGTGGTTAAATGTAATGTGTTCCATAGTTGTACAATGCATACAACGTATCTTTAACTTTGTCGATTTATTGAACTGTTCTTGTTGGAAAATCGCTTGGCAAAAAATCATTTTACCATGCCATATTGTCATTTCGTCCTTTTACGTCTCATTAGTGGTACTAATGGTCAAAATATTTGGATTTCATAACTTAAGTATTCCAAAACGTATGTAGTAATACAGGGTAAAGTGTAAGTTACATTATTCTATTAAACTTCCTTTATATATATTAAATTCCAGACAATCATATACATGAAAAACCTTCTGAGGATGGAATACATCAGCTACGTACGTTCCTTTACATCAATACTCCCTTAAGTATGTACACCTCTGAGAAGTCAAAAATGTCCTGTATTAAACTTTTTTTCTTATATGGATTTTTGGAAAAAGGAGTTGATGGCATAGTAGAAAATGCAAAAAAAAAACATATGTCCGTGTATTCGTTTTTGTGCTATTATCGGTCAAAGATGCCAATTTAACACAACATGTGATTTTAGGTGATTTTTTGGGTTTTGACCATTTACAGAACAAATTCATACAATTTCTTCCAAGTGTGTTTTATCAGATATGTATGAATGTTTGTAGCATTGATGAAAATAGTATTTTCTTTTAATTTATGGAAGTAAAATTTCTTAATCTTATGCTTTTAACTCAGAAAGCCGATTTTAGTTACCCCTGCCCCCTATCTTTTAATGAAAAAATACTCAATTCTTACCATTTTTTTGCAGATTAAACGCTTGATAAAAAAAGTTCTGGTATTTAACTTTTTTTAATATTTAATGAATTCAATGAAAATGTGTTTCTCTTTCTAAAACATCTACAAAAATGGGGGGGTCAGTGTGCTTCTTTTTTTGTCCCATTATCATTTGTGTTTTTTTTTACCTTTTTCGGGGTCAAAAATCAAAAGTGCTTCAGTAACACTAAATACGTAAAAAAATATCAATAATATATAATTTTCCAGTTTCTTGCATATTATTTTTATCATATTGAACATTATAAAGTTGTACAGCAAAATTGAACGTGCTACAATTAAAAATGGCGACACAATGACAATTTAAGTGATCAATCTAGTGTCAAAAAAGGTGAAATTTTGGCCTTTTTTGAAGCGCAAGAAATACACATTAACTTAATACACATTTTCAAAATGGCCGCCGAATTGGTAATTTTTTAAATCCTTGTAAGAAAAGTTCTACAAACAACAGGGATTTAACGTTTTTTTTCAAACCCCTAAGCGACGATAAAGTTAATGCCATTAATGTTCGAAAAATATATCTAAGTGTGCAGGATCCGTTCTCTGTCAGTAAGATCTTTAATGCAGCAAAACAGCCAATTTGATTATACTCACTTTACAGATTATTTAATATACTCACTTTACAGATTATTTAATATACTCACTTTACAGATTATTTAATATACTCACTTTACAGATTATTTAATATACTCACTTTACAGATTATTTAATATACTCACTTTACAGATTATTTAATATACTCACTTTACAGATTATTTAATATACTCACTTTACAGATTATTTAATATACTCACTTTACAGATTATTTAATATACTCACTTTACAGATTATTTAATATACTCACTTTACAGATTATTTAATATACTCACTTTACAGATTATTTAATATACTCACTTTACAGATTATTTAATATACTCACTTTACAGATTATTTAATATACTCACTTTACAGATTATTTAATATACTCACTTTACAGATTATTTAATATACTCACTTTACAGATTATTTAATATACTCACTTTACAGATTATTTAATATACTCACTTTACAGATTATTTAATATACTCACTTTACAGATTATTTAATATACTCACTTTACAGATTATTTAATATACTCACTTTACAGATTATTTAATATACTCACTTTACAGATTATTAAATATGCTCACTTTACAGATTATTTAATATGCTCACTTTACAGATTATTTAATATACTCACTTTACAGATTATTAAATATGCTCACTTTACAGATTATTTAATATACTCACTTTACAGATTATTTAATATACTCACTTTACAGATTATTCAATATACTCACTTTACAGATTATTTAAAATACTCAATTTACAGATTATTTAATATGCTCACTTTACAGATTATTTAATATACTCACTTAACAGATTATTTAATATACTCACTTTACAGATTTAACCAGCACTCCTCTAAACTTGGAAATTTATATATTTGGGTTCAACAAGAGTTCAGACAACTCGGATTTCACCAGTGAGTGAAACAGTTTTATGATGCAGTGCGGTTCATGTTTGTCGTACTGTACATCTATTACCGGATTGTGTTACAGATGCAGTCACATGTGTGTGTCGTACGTTCATTTATCCATAGGTCATTTGTTCACATTCTGTGTCAACCATTATTGTACTAAATGTATTTGTAATTTATAAACACCATAGGATCTGCATACTACTGAACTCATTAGCTTTTGATGCAAGTAATAGGGCTTTAACGTTAAACACATGAAAACTATCCAAGTGTTTTGTCGGAGGAAACGAGACATCATTTATAGAAGTTTTGAAGTTGCCATTGCATTTGACTGTATTGGACTTCTTTTTCGTTTGAGTAGAAAATTGAGAAACGCACAGGAAAGGCTGGATACCAAGGAACGGGATATTTGAAATTGTAAATATTTGTGAAAGGAATAGTTGAATGTTTCCAAACTAAGGTTTGTAATGGATACATTGTATATAATAGAAAAAATATTTTGAAGTACTAAATATTTTTGTCCTATGAGTAATATTAAAATATGACATTCTAAAAACTTTTACCAAAATATAATAATATCAAAAACTGATATTGTTAAAAACACAGTTGTTATATGTTAATGCTCCGCAATGCCACTATATAACACTACCAACGCCAGTTTTGTGTTATGAGACTATAACACAGGCGTAGTGATATCTGTACGTGTCCGACTAACTACCGAATCGCTATTCCCCTCCGCACTAGCGAGATAAGCAAAATAACCCACCATAATTCAATAATAATCACCGTTTTATGTAAGACTATTAAAAAATGTGATTTGAAAAAGTATTTGTTTTACGGGGAAAGTCACGAGACAACATTCCGTGCACAATTCTATTGGATATTCTACCTCTTGAACAAACACCGCGAAAATTAAATGGTGTTTTTTTTTATGAAATAAGGATTGGCTATAACCTATACTACCAGATATCTAATTCTAAACTAACTTATAAAATAGCCACAAGTAGCATATCAGACAGTTTCATGTGAGGTTACTACAAACAAAAGTAAAAACAATGGATGACAATAGAGCTATGTTTTAAATTGATGCTTGTATATATCCATTATAACACGTGTAATTAATCAAACCCCAGCTTTGTTTATGATAGTGAATAACAACCAATGAGTTCCAGTCAAAAAGGAAGTTACATAGGTAATACTTCTTGTATTGTCACAGTAAAATATAATTACCCGTGCAGTGCATAGCATGGAAAACCAATTGTATCACTATAAGACTCACGTGGTATGTAAATATATCTTCAGCAATGATGTAATAATATTCACTAGGGATGTAATGGATACCGGATATGTTAGTATTAAATGATATCTTTTTTATCGCGTATATAAATAAAATGAAATGAACAGCATGGGAAAGGTTTTGTCATGTTATACGATATACAGGCGATGCATCAAATACTCTGAGATATAGATGAAATAGCTGAGCTTTTAGTGATAAATAGGTGACAAATATCTTGCAATAACGTCAGATCTCTGGTAGTATAGGTTATAGCCAATCCTTATTTCATAAAAAAAAACACAATTTATTTTATTCTCCCTAAGGAGGTGCACATAAAGAACTACACTGGTCCGTATTTCACCGTATGTCACTGCCGGGGCGATTGGGGAGATGTACCCGGATGGCAGAGCCACAAAAGAGATACTGGACATCGCCGCCGGTACCGGCCTGGTTGCCGTAGAGGTATATGACAACTCTTAACAAGCGTACTGTTATAAATTATGAACAGTTCTTTGTACACAACCGATAATATTTTGAGGACAACTCCTACACATTTTACACCTTTGTGTGCATACGCTTCACTGGTCATTTGTCTGATGAAGGCGAAACGTCACATAGAAATTCTGATTGATTGTTTAAATAAGAAGTTTTCATTATCCTTAAGAAAATGTTTAGAAATGTACTATTATAAGTGTATACAACTCAAGTGCACTTTCATAACGGCCCGGGAAGGCCGGGGTTGACATCCGGTTTGAGGAATGCGGTGTTTATTATATTAACAGAAAGTGCAGTAGCTCGACTCGTCACGTTTTTGATGTCATGGATCATTCATGGATAAACAATAATAAAGAACTTTAATTCGTTTGTCATGGAAGGAATGTTATGTGTCGTAATTCCAACCCCAGGATTCGGTTGTTTGTCATGGAAGGAATGTTATGTGTCGTAATTCCAACCCCGGGATTCGGTTGTTTGTCGTCTCAGCCTTGTTTACATGTCGCGTTCGTCATGTTCGTGGATACATGCTGTAATATACAGTATTTGTGTAAGTAAATTCACCTCAGTTGATACTTTCTAATGTTGGAAACATCCAGATTAATTCCTTATATCGCCACTTATTGGATCACTGTGCGGACATAAAGTCTATGTGACATTGTAATATTGTCAATTTGAGCTTTGTCAGATTGATATCGTCTAAGGAGAAATCGGATCACTTAACCATCATTTTATTCATTCATTGAATATTCTGAGGATGAATTATATTCATTTATGTTTGTACAGTGTTAAAGGAAGAATATCGATGAGTGTTCTTACAAACGAAATTAGCACCTGGGGCTCATGCGAGATATTTATAGAACGCTCTAACGTCACCAATCAGCGTTTCCAGTTTTTGCGAATGTCAGGCAGGACCCAAATCGAATCGAGCCTTTTGCAGTATCTTACACTTCAAATGAATGTTGTTTTGTCAGCATATTAACATTATATGATGACTTTTGCAATTTATAGTGTGAGTGTATTGCTATGATCCAAAACAGAATGCATAGTCGTCACACGTGCCATTTTAAAAACGTCAACAAAACACTGACATTTGAGTTTGAATTACGTTTTTAGGTGCTATTTGAACTTAAACACTAACAGTTAACCATCTGTATATAAAAAAAAAATGGTGCATGGTTATCTATTCTACGGCTACATCATTGTTATAACTGAGCTGTTGATACATCTATTGATTTCAAAGTATTTTTGCAAAAAGTGATCTAATTTGGGTACTGATCCGATTTGGGTAAGATGACAGAACTTGTCACTGATGTGAGTATGGTCAACTATAGATTAAAGTTATTCCTTTTAAAATGTCTAATACTTAAAATAATGAAAAAATAGACGAAGATACAATAACAAAATATTAATGATAAACATTTGAAAAACAGCCATTCATACTAATATTAACAGCTGAGTTTTTGTCAGATGTGTTACTTTTAGCCAATCACAGAACCTGTAACAAACTGCAAAATAAAATTTGGAATTATATGAAAATTACTCTTTTAGATATCTCTGAAAACTTTATTTTGCACTATGAATCTTAAAAAGAAATTACAAAGCATTTCTTCGATTATGGTGCTAGTAACTTCACATAGAAGTGAGTAGTATTTATGATTAGTGTTTATATTAATGATATACCTAGTTCTGATTAGCGTATACGCCAGGCCATTACCAAAATGACAAGACGTACAGTAGTCATCGCAGACTCTGATAAGCTTATAGATTGCTCTCATAAATAGTTCCGTCCTTATTTATCCGTTAGTGTTTGGCAGGTGATAAGCCAATGGATCAACAGGGTAAGCTCGTAATATCTGATAGGAATAATGCTCTGTACAATTATTAAAAACCTTAACCATTTCTTCAATGGTAAAGTTGAGATAAAAACTGCATACCTGAATTTAGAATTTATTTCTCTAAATTGTTTGCTTTATTGTAAATCTTTTTTTTTTCTAGCTGACGAAGCTAGGTTTTCGCGTAATGGACGCCCTTGAACCATCTGTGGGAATGCTACAGTTGGCCGCAAAGGAAGAATTATACCGCACCTCGTATAATATAGGAATCTCCGCGGAACCTTTACCGCTTCCTTCCGGTTAGTATCACATCCTTCCGGTTAGAATCACATCCTTCCGGTTAGTCACACATTCTTCCGGTTAGTATCACATCCTTCCGGTTAATATCACATCCTTCCGATTAGTATCACATTCTTCCGGTTAGTAACATATCCTTCCTGTTAGTACCACATCCTTCCGGTTAGTATCACATCCTTCTGGTTAGAATCACATCCTTCCGGTAAGGATCATTTCCTTCAGGTTAGTACCTCTTTTTTAGGTTAGTAACACATGCTTCCGGTTAGTATAATGTCACAGGTCGCCTTCTGCTTAATAAGATTATAGTTGTCCAGTCAGTATAGTAAAATAGATCATATCCAGATAAGTTTAATGGTACAATGTACGTGTCACATTTTGATTAGTGCAGTGCCACATATCACCTTACTTTCATTATATTGAGGTAATAATTTTAGAGCTATGAACGTTAGGGGTTTTATTTCATTTTTCTTGTAGAAATTGTGGACATGCAAGTTCTGAAACTTTGTAACAGTACATACACTTCCATTATTTGGTGTGTTTTTTTGTAAGTTGACGGCGCAAACTTTTCTTGAAAGGATTAAACGAATGACAGTTCAGAGCCACATTATTCTCTTTTTTGAAAATATATTCAATAAATCCTTGGTGGAATTCTTTTTATTCTTGTTTCAGACAAATATGACCCCATTACTATCTGTGGTTGGCATGGCAACACCAGTTCCCTAGCGGACGCTCTACCGGAGATGATTCGAGTGGTTAAACCAGGTAATTGTGTAGACACGTTTGGACCAAGACAGTATGGTTTCTAATACATTACGTCATTTACTAGATATAGGGATTGATTACGAGATACGCAGTCTACATTCGCTAATGCTGTTAATTAGGATTAGATTAAACGGAAACTACATTTATGAACATTAACGAATTCAAGGAAAGTAGTTTTTAACACAGTGATCGGTCTAACGATCCTGTCGTTATAGTATGTACTAAGAGTCCTCCAGCAGATTAAAGGAACATTAACCTAAGACACAATTGGGACTGCGCCTTTAAAATTTGGTAAACACTGCACCAAACAGGTGTGTCGTCCTTCTAGGACTCATCGGTGATGCTCGGGGCCGGAAGGTGGAAACCAACACTGGTTCAAACTACTATTGAACTAGAATGGGGAGGTGCGTACAACCTCTTAATTATCTGTATTTCAAAATTTCTAGGAATACTAGTTAATTTCAAATATATAACGAGTAAAATGTGTACATAAAAAAACGTGCTGCTATTTAATATGAGAAAACTGTGGCCATCGTGGTTACGGCAAACCTCGGGGACTAAGAAATCGCCAAGCAGAGTCTACCACCATGTATCCTGAAAGACGAATCAAAGACAAGCACATGGGACTACCAACTTGTTGCGAAAAATAATCACCGGAAATGCGAAGAAAGCACCCACTTGCAAATATGGTTGGAACATGGTAGATAGAAAGTCAAACAAAGAAAACACTTTGCTGCTTCATGTCGCCATTTAGGACTCGCCAATAATATGAAAATTTAAACAAACAAAAATAAAAATCCCAATGTCAATGTGTTCCGAATTATATGAAGAGTACAACGGAAAGGAAAAGATGAATAGATACCTTTACATGAGAAGCGTTTTAGATTTTAAACTTAAACTACCTGTAGTTAAATTACGGAAACTGCCGAAGATAAGATATGTTTTAATTCTTTCAACGTAACAACCCGGACTTGGGGATCAATGTCTTGGACAGATAAGTATTTGGAAATCGGAGTCAAAATATTCTAATCAGCTACTTTAATACAGAGTTTATGTAGTAAAGATGTATCAACCCATACTCCTATTAATCTCTTTCTAGTCCTGTAACACAGTTATAGATCTGCTGGTAACTCATACTTGTAAATGTGGCGATATAGGATATTTTAGTGAGATTGTATTTATGTTTTGTCACAACACACAAAGCACCAATCGAAACAATGAAAAAAATCAACATCCTATTCAAATATCCTTGGCCTGTATTCATTAAACTATTCTCATGCTCAATCATAGATTATGTGCTCTAACCAACTGTCTTGTTTAACTTGCTTTAATTAGATGTCACAATTAGGTGTTAACATTGAAAACTGGAATCAGTTTTAATAGTCTATCTAATTTTCCATATTTTTGACAAAATGTGATTTGATTTATTAATTTATCACCAGAACAGGAAATTGAGTTTGAGTACAGAATCTGAGTTTGAGCATGAGAATAGTTTCATGAATACGGACCGGGTCTTTGTTTCCTAGGTGGTTACATTTGTGTTGTGATACGGATGGACTTCGTTAAGGACGGGGACGACTACAAGGACACGTACCTTAGGCAGTGTGTCAAGTTAGCGGCGGACGACAAGTGGGAACAGAAACAGTTCACTAGATTCCCGAGCCTCATAACCGACGTAGAGGGTGTCAAGATGATGTTTAAGGTCTGCTAAACAATGATTTTATCATTACAGTGATTGTGTCATAACAGTAATTGTGTCATTACAAGGATTGAATCATTACAGTGATTGTGTCATTACAGTGATTTTTTAATTACAGTTATTTTGTCATTACAGTGAATTTTTAATTACAGTGAATGTATCATTACAGTGATTTTGTCATTACAGTGATTTTGTCATTACAGTTATTTTGTCATAACAGTGATTTTGTCATTACAAAGATTTTTCAATTACAGTGATTATGTTATTACAGTGATTTTGTCATTACAGTGATTTTTCAATTACAGTGATTTTTCAATTACAGTGATTGTATCATTAAAGTGATTTTGTCATTACAGTGATTGTATCATTACAGTTATTTTGTCATTACAGTGATTTTGTCATTACAGTTATTTTGTCATTACAGTGATTTTGTCATTACAGTTATTTTGTCATTACAGTGATTTTGTCATTACAGTGATTGTGTCATTAGTGATTTTGTCATTACAGTGATTGTGTCATTACAGTTATTTTGTCATTACAGTGATTTTGTCATTACAGTGATTTTTCAATTACAGTGATTTTTCAATTACAGTGATTGTATCATTAAAGTGATTTTGTCATTACAGTGATTTTTTAATTACAGTGATTGTATCATTACAGTGATTGTGTCATTACAGTGATTGTGTCATAACAGTGATTTTGTCATTAAAGTAATTGTGTTCCTCTTAACCTTAACCATCGAGGATGTGTGAATCCACTGGTGCTTCATAGACAATGTGTAGGCAGCCAATGGAACATGCTGCTGTTTTATTGAGAGTGAATATGACATCTGCTTGATATGTTCCTGTTTTATACTGGTAAATAAACAGATATGTGTGATTGAAAATTGAATCTTAACTGAAACTACATGTACATTTTTACATTTGTTTTTTCAATTCATTGTTTGTCTCAAGCCTGTTGCCCAAATCTCTTTAAATATGATTAATAAACTGTTTTGAAATGAAAAATTAAGGTTGGTTAAGAATAATTGTGCCAGCATTAAAGAGTCTGTTTGACGTTGTATTGTTATAATGCCATACTATACCATTGGACATTTGTAGCTTTATGATGTTTCGATTACAAAATTTTAGGTCTACGATAACGAAGATCGGATATGTGGTAAGGTCACACCAATGACAAGAACGAGTTGTCTCCCCTCTTACGGTTGTCCGTGTTTTATGCCGCCACTTACAACATTTATATAGCGCCCTATATAATTTGTAAAATTACTCTAAAGCGCTTTACAACGTATGGATAATAGTAATGGTTATAATTGTAAAAACAAAGGCTTACAATCACTTTTACACATTTTAGCAAGCAATGTGCACATAATTGAACAAATAAAAGGGTGGTATGTACATGACGTCTTTGCGAGGATTCTAAAATGCAGACGTGAAGAGGTGAGTTTTGATGTCCCTCTTGAACTTGGCCAGGGTATTTGACTTCCTAATAGAAGATGGTAAGCTATTCCACAACGTAGCCGAAACCCTCCCAAAGCATCTGTTTCCGTAGGTCATAGTTCAAGATTTTGGGACACTCAACAAAGATTCTGACTCCGACCGCAGTGATCGTGACGGCTGACACAGGGTAACAAGCTCCTGTAGGTACTGAGGAGCTGTTCCATTCAGTGTCTTGTATGTGTACACCATAATTTTGTACTGAGACCTGTATCGTACAGGTTACCAGTGCAACGAATAAAACACAGGTGTGATGTGCTCTCTCTTTCGAGTACGAGTAACTAGCCGTGCTGCAGTGTTCTGGACCCTCTGCAGACCACTAGTTAGTTTGTCAGATATACCACAGAGCAGGGCGTTACCATACTCCAACCGAGAGGTAACAAGTGTATGCACCAAAATCTTGCGTGCATCTGCAGTTAAAAACTGCCGAATACAGCCGATGCTCTTGATCTGGTAGTAACAGGATTTGGCAATAGCGTTCACTTGTTTCTCCATGTTCAGTGAACTATCAAAGTATACCCCTATGTTTTTCTGGCACCGACCTTGAGCTGGAGAGCCATTGTTTGCTGACACTTTGGGGGAAAGACGACTAGTTCCGTCTTTTCCTGATTAAGCTTAAGGATGTTGGCGTTCATTCAGATAGTGATATTTGTATTCCAACTGTCCTGTGGTTTGATGACCATGTAAATTTGTGTGTCATCGGAATAGCAATGACAGCGAAGGCTATGGCGACGACAAATCTCTCCAATCGGTTTTGAGTACATACAATATTTTCGTGGTCCTAACACCGACCCTTGAGGAACCCCGATATCTGGTATTTTGTCATGTGAGGTGGAAGATCCGGTGGCAACACACTGTCGTCGTTTACTCGGGTAAGACTGTATCCAGCCTAGTGCGGTATCAGTCCCTCCATATGAGTATTCCAGACGTTTATAAAGTATGCCATGGTCGATGACGTCAAATGCAGCTGACAAGTCTAGCATGACAAGCACCGCTCTGCACTTGTTATCCAATGCAGAAGCTATATCATTATGGACACGTAGGAGGGCCGTCTCAGTAGAGTGTCCTATGCGGTAGGCCGATTGCATGTTGTCATGGAAACTGTTTGCATGGAGATGAACCTCTAAACGCCGGGACACAACCTTCTCCAAGTTCTTAGACAGAAAAGGCAGATTTGAAACTGGGCGGTGGTTTTTCAACTCCTCCTTGTTCATTCCAGGCTTCTTTAACAGTGGTCTGACATGTGCCTTCTTGAAACACAATAGAACCTTTGACTCAGCTAATGATTTGCTCATGATTGAGGTAATCAAAGGAAGCAGTGCTTCAAGACATTGCTTTAATAGGTCTGGTAGCAAGCTCACAGGACTTCGATTGCGAGGTCATTATAATGCTGCGCAACTCGTCCTGGGTTGTTGGTGAGAGCTTTGCCAATGGTTACCCATCAATTGCAATGTCAGCATTCATGACTGAGATGTCAATGTCAGCAGATGTGTTCACTTCGTCAATATTTTTCCTGATTGAGCTGATTTTATTCAGAAAGTAATCATTGAACTTGCTTGCTAAGCCTTTTTCAGAATTACATTGTAGTTTTTCTCAAACGTTTAGAGAGAGAGAATAAACTAGGTTTAAAGGATGGTAGAAGCCAGACGATTTTAAACACCGTTGTATGTTATACTTTTATTCGTTTTAACAACGAAAAAGTATCCCTTTTGTAGGTAGCACGTTTGAATTAACAAGTGATCAGATGTGTACATATATAAAATACGTTTAGTCTCTCTTTTTGTATACCCAATTTCCAATTAGAAAACCATCCTGATATCCAGGGGTTACGCTCACTTTCGATCTCTGCACCACTGGAATATGTCATAGCAAAATCAAAGGCTCAGTGTGCAGTACCTTATGGATGAGACGAGAAGACTAGTTTGATCCTATGATGTACATCAAAAGAATCTCGCAATCGTGTAATGGTAAAACTTACTGACTTTGAAGTCGGTCGTCGCTCTTCTGTAATCTTCAAAGGACAAGTATCAGCCTAGTGATTGGTTAAGTTTTTCTACCTGATACCAATCAAATAGCTAGCCGCTTGCCTTCAGTTTTGCTATGACATATATATTCCAGGGGTGCAGAGATCGAAAGTGAGCGTAGCCCCTGGATATCGAGAATGATTGGAAATAAGTTTTGCAACTAAATCAGTCCTCTCCTTTCGAAAAGGAACATGAAATGTGACGGGTGGGATAGCTGCAATAATTATAGGCTTGAAAGAAAGAGCTGTAGGGAAAGGCGACTGAACAGAGAGGTGACAAAGAGGTTATCGTATATGATAAATAATAAATAACGGCAGGGAGAATATGACAGGACATCTTTGGTTAGATAATAGGATAATAGTCTTTCAAATATCTTAATGTTGCGAAGATGAAAAATCTAAGGCATTTTCATTCTTTGGCAGTTCGGTATCATTGAGCGTTTTATTACACTAGACAGCACGGTTTTGAAAATTGCTCACGTTTTCCTCGTTTTCCATACAAGAGCAATAGACGAGATTTCTGCGATTTTTCCAAAAAATGTAATACACCCCTTCCTGAATCTTGCAACACGAGTCTGGCCAAACCTTCTATCTCCACGGTAACAAGTTGGAATTTTAAACATTTGCTCATCTAAATGATGTTTTTCATCGATACTGCCTTATTGGCGAGCTAATGTCATCGTTCTCCAAAAAAATGGTCGAAAAGGAATTCACATAATAAGGATCAAAAGCTGAACTCACACTTAATATCCGATAGACTTGCTTTAAAGACAGGAGTGAAAAGTCAGCTTGAGACAGATTTAAAAAGACTAGTCATCCTCTATATCCAGGGGTTACGCTCACTTTCGCTCTCTGCACCCCTGGAATATGTCATAGCAAAATTGAAGGCAAGCGGCTAGCTATTTGATTGGTGTCAAGTAGAAGAATCATGACCAATCACTAGGCTGATACTTGTCCTTTGAAGATTACAGAAGAGCGACGCCCGACTTCAAAACAAGTAGGTTTTACCATTACAAGACCGCGAGATTTTTTTGATTTATATCAACTGATCAAAGGATCAAACTAGTCTTCTCGTCTCATCCATAAGGTGCTGCTTACTGAGCCAGGGGTGCAGAGGTAGAAAGTGACTGTAAATCCTGGATATCCAGGATGATGATTAGTACGATGTGTACACTGTCACCCTCATCAGACAAATGGCCAGCGAAGTGTATGCACACGAAGGTGTAAAATGTGTACGAGATGTCCATAAAATCGAGATTCGACTACGCTGTAAGCGTATGTACAATAGCTGTTATTTATGTACCGTAATGACTCGATTCGGCTACGCTTTGTTAGATAAACAAAATGCATTGTCAGAGCTAGTTTGCATAACAAAATAATATTTTCAATTGAAATTTTATATAATCACATCTTCGAAGATGATATTATCAATGCACTCTGAAGTTAATCACATCACATTATCTGTATATGTATGTGTATATCCTATATATAAACATTTACGATCGTGTAAGTAACCGACAGTAACCAGCGCCACCAGCCATCGTAATCAGAGTGTCAGAAAATCTACCTATAACTGTCAATAGCATGTTCATTAAAGGCGGACCGGAGTTGTGGGAAATACTCGTCATCATAATCGTCCAATAACTGTAAATTTCACAATCGCAACGTAAAAGCTGTTCGTTTAACTTTTTTTTTAAATTGGACTGTTTTTAACTACTGGGATTCCCATATGCTTATCACATCACAGGGACTACTTCAAATGTAGTCTGCATACAATGAATATCTTGGTTGATGGACCGCCCTGA